AAATTACCCCGTCCGTGTTAAAATATATTTTTAAACTTTTAGTTTAAAAATTATAAAAACTTATGGTATAGGCAAGACCCTCCTGCGGTGGAGCAGTGGCTGAGCATTGTGGAAGAGATCTTCGTAATGGAGAAAATCACATATAGACTAAGATTGCAGGAGGACAAGTTTGTTGTTAAATGGGAAAAATGGAGCGACTGTAGACATAAGGAAAATGCCATTCTTGTATCCAGTTAAATATGGACACGGTTGTCTAACATTGTATATGAAGTTGAATGTATTGATGCCTCTCCACTGTATGTGTTCAGAAATGTTCAATAAAAAATAAGTATAAAAAAATTATAAAAACTGAATATCCAACAGTATTTTTACAGTCTTTATTTTACAGTTAAAATGTGTTTATTAAATAAAGTCTAATGTTACAACTAATCATGGATCCCTTCAAAATAAAAGGCGTTGTACCTCGGTGTCGGACAGCTCCTTCCACTGCGGCTGGCTGATGCCGATGGTGTCCAGCATTCTGGAGAACTTGAACCTGTTCTCGGCGCTGTCGATGAACTCGGGCGACGTTCCCAGGATGCGGCACTGCTGGCGATGCAGCGACATGGCGATGTTGTTGGGCAGCTGGCCCCCCATGGAGAGGATCACCCCTTCTGGGTTTTCTCTCTCATAGATATCCATCACCACCTGAGACCGACAAATATGTTTACCTCAGAATGAAAAAGACGGTTATAAAGATCTAAAACAAAGACACACACCTCAAAGGAGATCTCATCGAAGTACAGACGATCACACATGTCGTAATCTGTGCTGACCGTCTCTGGGTTGTAGTTCACCATGATTGTTTTATAACCCATCTGACAATGATAGAATACAAACATCCAAATATTCAATTTATTGGCTTCAGCTGTAAAAAATACAGCAAGAAACAGCATTGACTGTCCATCCTGACCGTCTCTTACCTTCCTGAGCTCCGTGATGCAGCCGACTGCGCACCAGTCGAACTCCACGCTGCTGCCGATGCGGTACACGCCCGAGCCGATCACCATGACGTGCTGCTCGCTGAAGCTCAGGTCRTCTTCAGAGCCGTGGTAGGTCAGGTACAGGTAGTTGGTGTGGGCGGGCCACTCGGCCGCCACCGTGTCGATCTGCTTCACGACAGGCAGGATGGACCAATCGTGACGCAGCTTTCGGACGGCCAACTCTGTGCTGCAAGACGGAAAGACAGATTTAACAACAGTGTAGGTTAAAATAATTGTAACCGTGATCCCGCTCTATTCAGCTTTGTTTTCTAACAGTTGGGACTGCAACTAACGATTATTTTAATAATCGATTTATCTGTCGATTAGTTTTCCATTAATCGGCCAAATCATTAAAACACTTAATACATAAATATAAGTAGATATAAATCAATTTAATTCTTGTATAAATTAGGGATGCAAGTTATTGATTAATGTGAAGTTGTCTGAAGTTGATTTATCTTAGACTGACTAATGATTTAATGATAAGCAGCCATTTTCTTAAAAACCAGAGTTTTTCATTGAATCATAAGGGTCTTTTCATAAAATGAAGGATTTTTTAAAAAAATATGTGACCCATCACATCGAAACGAGGATTAAGTCCAAAAGTTTTATATGGAGAAATATGCAAATATAGTGTTTTGACT